CAGGTTAATGGCTTTTCTTGGTAACTAACAAGAATTTAACCTCAGTTGCTGGTGATGTGAAGAAATCCTGGGTTGAGTTCTTTATTCAGCTGTGAAGGCAAACTGTGTAGGAGATCAATGAAACAGGCAAACAAACAAAGAAACCAAAACCAAATGGAAACAACAACTAAAATGCAGGGCCCCACTCATATCTGAATCTCCAATAACAGACACCTCTGCTCACCATCTGATTCTGCACCAATTCCCACGGACTGGCCTTCAGTGAGTGATTCTGCCTGTAATGCAGTTATACTCCAGGGTGGGCCATTTTGCACATAAGCAGTAGAAGGCAAAATAAAGGCTTCCACAGAGGAGAGTTGACAGGGACAAGTGATTTTGAGAACTGTAGCTTTTAATGAGCCCTGCTACATACTACATTGTATTTACAAATCTTCCATAAATTACCTAAGTAGTATTTCTTTCACTTCCACTTACAGAAACCTGGGGAATGTGACTCGAAGGCATGTAGAAATTATTTAAATGCAGATATGCATAATCAATCCTATTAAATTAGGTCCAAAATTGGAACAAAGTTGTTTTAATAATGAAAGGTTTAAAAATAATAGTGCTTCTAGATGTAGCTATTTTTTAAAAGTCCTGATTAAGGAGGCATATGTCAAGAAAAATTACTATAATGGTGAATGCTGATTCAGGACCTGATTTTTATTAAGTAGTTTATAGTGAAGGCTGTGACTATTTTTCTGTTTATAGTGGCAGTTCTGGTTAATTACCTTGTAATGTATTGTGACATTAGTGCACTAGTAAACTATTGGAATTTACACCCCTATTCAGTAATAAAATCTGTAAATTGATGAATGCACATAAAGCCATTGTAGCCATAAATTATTCGACCAAATGCCATGTATGATCCCATTAGATTTAAAGAACAGAATCTCTCAAATTTACTCATTAGTGGGAAAGTGCTATTGAATTTATACACAACAGCTATCTTATAACTAGAGAATGTATAACATCTTATTCATGGTTTGTTTTGCAAGTTGCTATTATATTTCCTTATGGGAACTACAAACATTGGACACAAACCAAATATATAACATTTAAAAAGTAGAATGCTATGATAAATATGTACATTAATATAATCAAATACTTTTTTCTATACAAAATGACAGTGATGGTAGGATGATGACGTATGAATTTAACCCAAAATAATTCATAGGAGAGAGGACAAAAAAGAGTAAGACTAGAATGTGAAAAAATATAATTTATATATGTTTCATATCAATTCTATTAAAATACAGTTCCAAACTTACTAATAATTACTTTATTGTCTCAAACACACAAAACACAGTCACTCTTTTACAAAGAAAGGTCCGAGCAACCCAAGATATTTTCAGTAAAACTGAACTACAATGGCAAAGTGTCTGAAGCAATCTTTCCTGTTATTTTGCTGTGTAGTTTATATTTCCCAAGGAAAAGTTCCCTGCACTAATACTGTTGACGATATTAACACATTTTAAATGCTTTTGTTTTATATTGCTGAGTGACAGATATAAGAAAATTATGATTTTATTATAAGAATGTAGTCCAATCTATAAAATACTGGAAGAATTAACATAGAAAGCAATAGAATATAGAAAGCCATGGGCCAATAAAGTAAGGGAACAGTAGTAGATATTTCTCTCGTCTCCACATTAATAAAATTACAGTAGCAACATAGACAAAAAAAGCTAAAATGCTCAGCTAGCATGAATTTAGAAGGCGTTCATAGTATACTGCTAAATAATCTCCCAAAATTATTTGAAAAAAATTTTATTTAAAGAACCTAATTTACCATATTACAGAAAATCAAATAGAAACTTGTAATATGGCAAGATAAATTCTCTTTTCCTCCTCGATATGCTAAACAGATGGATAAAGAGATACATGTATTTTTTAAATGTGCAATTTGATGGAATGTACATATCAACAATGGTGAACAGTGTGTACATATTTTTGTTTGTTTGTTTGTTTTGGTGCCAGGAATCGAACTTAGGATCTTACGCTTGCCAGGCAGGTGCTGTACCACTGAGCTATATCCCCAGGCCAGTACACTTTAAATAATTAATGAAGATGATGCTTTAGAGCAAATGGAAATATTTCATAGTTTCTAATTAATGATATTTTATGCCAACTGTGCCATCCTTAATATTTGTCTTAAAGTGAAATACTAGGCATTCTTAAGAAAAATGAACAAAATTTTTGCAGTCATATTTTAGAAATTTTTAAACACCTTATTCAATAATTTTTAAACAAAAAGTCACAGAGCTGTGTCACATGATTATATGCAATTATGTCTGCAATGCCATTGATCACAGGGCAATTACAGGAGTCTCTGGGTTGACACCTGTGGAGGAATGATATGCCACAAAGAAACTGCAAGTCAGTTATTTTCAGGCAGAAAGCACAAATTCAGGTAAATTCATGCAGAAACTCTTATAATATTATCTTTAACATTATCAGTTCAGTATCATCACTGCACAGATTAAGACCAAGTTTGAGCTCTTAATGATGACTACAGATCTTCCTACCTATGAACCAAATCTTCGAGGTCTGACACGTTAGCTCTTTGCCAGGAACTTACCATATATTATTTCATTTAATAAGCCTCAGCAAGCTTCCAAGATGGCATAGTTATATCTGTTCTACAAATGAGCCAAGCTGCCCAATCATGCACTTCTGCCTAATTTTAAAGCTCATTTTTCCTCCCATAAACCATAGTAATGAACACAAAAGTACTAAGTAATAGCCATATTTTATGTGGGGGTTATCAAATGCCAGACTCTATTCTATATTACCAAGACCTAATGAGGTTTTCATTTCTGACCTGTTTCATTTGACTTGTGCTGCCATAACAAAATACCAGAACTGGATAATTTATGAAGACCAAAGATTGATTTTCTCATAGTTCTGAGGGCTGAGAAGTCCAAGATAAAGAAGCTGTCAGATTCTGTGTCTGACGAGGACTCTTCTTTGCTTCTAATTTGTCCTTCTTCATCCTCATAGGAGGTGGAAGGACAAAAAGGGAACTAGCCAGGTCCCTCCACATTTATCAGGGCACTCATCCCAGCAACAAGGGGCTCTCTCATGGTCTAATACTTCCTCAAGGCTTCACGTCATAATACTACGACACTGAGGATGAAGTTTCAACATACATTTTAGAGGGCACAGACAGTCAAACCAAAATATGTTATCAACACAGAAACCTCAGGGTCATTTTTGACTCTTTTTATGGGTGCCACATTTCTAAAAATATTTCTCACACCTTTACATTGTCATGATACACTCTGTTAACTAATCGCTCCCATCATCATGCATCTAAACATCATGCATCTGAACTACATCACGCATGCATCCTACTGCCCTGTGCCCGTCTATTCCCTAATCAGCCTGTCATCTACAGAGAGCAGGATGATTTTTTTTTTTTTTTTTTTTGTCTTTTTCGTTTTTATGGTACCAGGGATCGAACTCACGACTGCCTGCTTGCAAGGCAGGTCCTTATGCCGCTGAGCTAGATCCCCCCCCCCTCCCCCCCGAGCAGGATGATTTTAAGAACCAATAACGTTCTAACACCTCACGGGCTTAGTGGAAAAACAGCAGGATAAAATAGAGACCTGTTGGTAGGAAACACAGAATCTGCCTCCATCTGCCTTTGATATCATTCTGATCTTTCCCTCTAAAGCTGCCACAGCTGTGCAAGTAGCACACCCTTAGAAACAGCACACTCTTCCACGTCTCAGTGTGCGGCTTCAGTCTCCTTCTCTTCTTGACATTACCTCATCCTCCCTACTCCCTTTTGCTCTTCAAGAACATTAATGTGGGTTTTCAGTCTCTTCTGTCAATTTCACCCTCAGCAGTTTGGACAGAAAACATTGAATGGCTTTCCACTATGTGTCAAGCACAGCTAATGGCTGGGGAAAAGTAATTATAAGACTCTGCTATCACAGAGCTTTTAGAAAAGAGAGGGAAACGCACATGCTGCAGAACAACCTGCCATGTCTCACACGGAATCAGTGTGATTAGGGAAGGCAAGCATCTGGAGAGCAGAGATGAACAGAGAGCCAGCCCCAGGAGAAGTCAGGTGGGCCACACAAGGGAGCTGGGGAGCCTAGAGACTGGGGTTGAGACTGACTAGAGAGGAAAGAGATCAAAGGTCAAACCTAGTGAAGGTCAAAGGTCAGACCTAGTGAAGTTTAATCAACTGATTGACATCCTTGAAAAAAATAAGACAATAGACTGCACTAGTTAAAACCCTTCGTTAACCTTAGGTTAACTAATATAAAACTGGGAGCTAATGTCTGTATCATATCAACCTTGAATATTATACAACATTTTGAAAATCATGGATAAGTATTTCTTTAAAACATGAAAAGCAAATTTTGCATTTTGATTTTGAGTTAGGAAAGGTTGCCTTTCAGTTTTTATTTTGTATGACAATTTTAAAAATTCTGTAATTGAAACAGACCATAACAATGTAAAATATAAAATTTTAATTATTTTGTTTTGTTTTTGCATTGAGGATTGAACCAAGGATCTTGCTACTGAGCTACATCCTCAGCCCTATTTTTATTTTTATTCTTTTTGTTTTTGTTTTGAGACAGTGTTTTATTAAGTCTCAAGCTGCTCAAAATAAGCTTTAACCTGCAATTCTCCTCCTCCTGCCTCCCAGAGGGCAGGGATTACAGGCATGTGCCACTACACAAAGCTTTACATGTTTCTAAAACTACATGATTACCGTAATACTAAAATGCAGAAATAATAATATCTGATTTCAAGGGAAAAATCTGTCAATACAACTTTTGTTAAAATACTTTACACTTTAGCATAAATATTAGACTTGCTATCCCACCAGTTTGTTTATAGAATTCATTTTCCCTCCCACTTTTTAAACACACAAGAATTACAAAACACATATTTACGATCACCTTTAATTACTTTCTCTTTGCAAATCATGAAATGCTCACCTCTCATAGGGGGTCTTTCTAGTTCAGAGTCAAGGTGAATTGGTGGGGAAATATATGAAACTTGTCCGTGATGGGCCTGCCCTGTGGACACAAAGAGAAATGTTAAGAAAACAAACTACTTTTACTTCGTTTGGTGCCTATGACACTGCAGTATCTATCAGAACACTGAATCAATAGTCAAGATAGAGTGGAGACAGAACTGTCCAAAGTAGACACAAGATCCATCATACAGATGTCCACACATTTAAAGTCAGAGTGGCTGCCACCAAGCCCCTGCCCTCTTTGGTTAAGTAATTTTAATAGGGAGTGAAAATTCTAAAAGGAGTTATAAGCAAAATTAAATGTACAATCTTGAAGTTCCCATTTTTATTGTTGGATTACATAGACATTAAGTGCTCGATTTATAAGAAAAAAATAAATGTAAAATCTTGAAGCCCCCATTTTTATTGTTGGATTAGACAGACATTAAGTGCTCTGTCGCCTTGCTGCAGTCTATATAAACACTCCATCTCTACGTATTCCCTTAAAGATCAGCAATAAATGGTTGGCAGGCTGACACCCAAGGTACATAAAACACTTTGAATCACATTTACTTATACCACCTTACAACTCTAATTAACTTACATTTACCCTGAGGATTTTCTTTCATTATTTGAATAGAAAGTGTTCCTACCTGCTTATTGTATCTGATGAAAAAAACAAGAACTAACTATAATGCAAAAAAATAGGTAGATCAAGTTATTTTCTATTCCTTGTAAAGCACTATATCTGGCTACACACTTCATAATAAATTTTTTGTCTCATAAACTAAAGTGCTAATGTTGATTTTAAAACCAAAATGATGATTTAAAAAATTGTTAGCTTATTTGAAGACCAGCCTGGACAACACAGCGAGGCCTTGTGGTTTTTTGTTTTGTTTTGTATTGTTTTTAAATTAGGTTAGACACACATAAAAATAATCCCAGTGCTCAAAACAGCTACAGTTGATGCAGCAAGCAATTAACATTTTGAGGCAAGAAAGCATAATTACAAAGTCAATTCATTTTCTAAAGTTACTTTATGTAAAGAAGATTTAGGTAGAAGTGGAGAACCTGCTACTTTCTTTCTACATGGGAATAAGCAGTTATATTTCACACATTTAGTATTGCAATTTACAGGGTTGTTAATCTCTTTTCCTAAACAAGGAAAGTTAATGACACATAGATTATGATAACAGTTAGAGTAACCTTCCCGATTCAAGTAATATTCGACTTGTAATAAACTGCCGATTCCTCTTATGAGGCACATTTCAAATAATATGGCTCCCTGTTGATAGAAGCTGCTGTTGCTCCCAGCATTTTTCCAGCCAACAGCAGAGACAGCAGAGCGGCTGCGGTATACCAAGTCTCTCATAACGGTAATGAAGATTATTGCACATCTATTGGCCATGTTTCAGTAGAATACTAAAGGCACTTTTGTAAAAGGAATAAGCTGCCCATTATGCACTGTTAGCAGTCCATGTTTACTATGCTTTATTAAAAACTTCAGATTACCTTAATTATAAAGCCACCTGTTTAGCTAGGCTACACGCTTGGCTGCAAAAAATATTTCTATGTTTAAGGTTCTGTATCACTATATATGAATTGGTTTGAAATTCTGTGCTTCCTGTAAATAAAAATTAATGTGTCTTTCAGGTTCTACTGACTCAAAATAACCTGAAAATATAAGACAATATTGATTTTATGTACACTACTAGATGATAACTGTCATCATATATAACAATAGCCACAAATCACCTACTTTTACCCAATCATTGTCTATAGGGATTATTTACAAAGCTAATACAGTATATACATATTTTTAAACCAAAGAAACAACCGGAGGATAGTAACTTGCTCAAGCATATGCAACCAGTGAATAGCAGGGTCAGCAAATGTACCGATGTAATGTTCTAAAAATTTATATCATAATAGTTTTACTCAAAGAAAGTCTTATTATACTAATCTCTTTAAAAACAGAGGTAGGAATTTTAAGGATAAAACTGTGATGAATGCCAGGCTTTGGAGTTGTGCTGATGGTCAGGCTGAAGTGAACAGTCCCACCAAAAGTCACATTTGTGTCTCCTAGTGGTCAGCAGGTGGCTTCAACGGTATGCAGCTCAGACTTCTTAGGTAGCATGGAAAAGCAGTGTGCATACACCAAAGGGTAACAGCCACATCAAAGAGGCATCAGCATGGGGACACGGACAGCCACTTCCTGAAGTTGGCTTGCCATAATTTTAATTCTCTCTCCAAGGAGAAGTATAAAACTACAAGATCACTCAAGGCAGCAAAAGCTGAAGCAGTTGGAAGTGACTGAGAAGTATTTAACCTTCATTAGGAAGTGTACATTTGCACCTGTGTGTAACGTGAAAAACACACCCCTCACTGTACAAGTTCATGCACTCATCAAGGGACTTTTCATCACAAATATAGCCAGCAACTGTAATAAACCACAATGAAACTATAAATAAGAGCCACAAATTTTTTTTAGATACTATGATAAAAAAAAAACACTTTCAATGGAAACTGGTTTCAATGATGAGGGTTTAGCTGACGGGCAGACTTCTCCTCTGATATGTGTGAGACTCCAGATTCAATTCTCAACAAGTCAAGAAAAACACATGCACACATATACATCTGTACGTAAATGTGATTATTTCAAAAAGAGCTTCATTAAGTAAAATTCACAGCAAACACACCCTGTTTTAAAAGGTTTTACTACAGTGTTCTCGAACAGAGACTATATCTGCCATGTGGTCCTCATAATCATAGTTTTATATATTCAAATACATGATGTGCTGTACTTATATCTGTTCTTATTTTTTTCAAATTAAAAAAAATGTATATTTTTCTTCCAAATTTTGAGTTTCAGTGAAAAAAAATAGCAAGATTTTGATTAGTTACATTAACTCTATAAATTAATTTGGAGAATAATCAAAAATATTGGTTCTGTCTCCTCCATCTATTTAGATTTCAATTTACTTAATTTGCTTTTAATAAGTAACAATAAATTAATATTGAAACATGCTATTTGTGGCTAATAGAATATTTCTTTAGGCTTATTTACAAGTATTCTACTTTCTCTGTTATGAATAAATTTAACATTTCTTAATTACTCTCAATGAATCATTTTTTGGAAAGAAGGTATGGAGACTTTTTTTTTTTTAATCTGCAAGGTAATACATAGTTCCACTTATTTGAATTTCAGTAGCTGTTGCTGAGATTATTAGTTACTGACTGTGACCTGCCTAGTTCTTTGGAGATAGATAGCTTCACCAAAAATAACATCCTAGTTATCTTCTATTTTAAACTTTAAAACGAAAGAAGAATAGAAATGATGATTCAGAATTTTAAAACAGAATAACAAGAGATAACAATGGTTAATGTGCTTCGTATTGTTATTTATGAAGTAGTTGTTTAGATTACCAGATATACGTATGAAAAATGATCAAACAATGAAAGCACAAACTGTTCTTTTTGTTGAGCTAGCAGAGATTAGTAGTAAAATTTACCCATCCTAGTTGTTTTCTCCTTTTTTAGCTGTTTTCTCTCCTTTCATTTTCACAATATCTACTGTACATTTCAGATCCCAGTAACTCCTTTGGTTTTTTATACGAGGGAGAAAATATGATGTCCAGTCTTGTGAGTCCAAACCATTTCACCCATGAGCATGATCTTAGCTGCATCCATTCACTACAAGAGCCTTGAGATTATCCTCCTTTATGCATTTCTTTTTATATAAAATATACTTCCACATTAATATTCTCTCAGTACTCAATTCTTTTCTACAGCAGAATATGAATTTTAAAAGTTGATTTTATAGATTGTGCAACTTTGAGGACAGAATTTCCTGGTGTTCCTGGTTCATTTGTAATTTTAATTGAAATATATAAACAAATAATCCTATGAAATTATAAAAAGGAATGAGGCAAAAAAGAGCTTCATGTTTAAGGCTAGGAAGTCTAAAAATGAAGGTGATTGGATTATGGTATGGTAAAATGTGTCACTGTGGCATAAGGATTATTTTGAGTAGAGGTACATCCACAGACACAGAAGAGTTCTTGGCTCTCCACTTACTATCTAAAAGCAGTGAATTAATTTCCCATTGAGGAAGTGTTTCTTCCACAGTGCTGTGATATCAAGAGATACTAGTATATTTTCCATTGTAACTCCTTGAAGCCCAAATTCTTGTTTGTATTTTGCCTTTTTGAGACAGTGTCTCACCATGCACTTGAGGCTGACCTTGAGCTCACTTTGTAGCTCAGGATGGTCTGGGACTCCCAGCTATTCTCAGGTCTCAGCCTGCCCAGTGCTGGGATTTCAGGTATGTGCCACCATGCCTGGCTTGTTTTTTGGAAAGGGTTTACAATCCCCTGAATGTTATTGATTCTTTTTCACTTCTTTCTGTGAACTCCCAAGCATATAAATATTAATAAAATTTAGGTGCCTTTTCCCTTTTTAATTAATTCTTTTTAGATTAGTTCTCAAACCTCAAGACACTTAGCTTAGAAAACAGAGGAAAGTTTCCCTTTCTGAGAAAAAGAAGTGGCAACACAGAATTGGAGAGTTCTGAGCTAGTTTTCATTCATATGAAATAATACATTTGCATGGATACAGGTATATGCATATATATTGAGATACAATTCGGACACCATAAAATTTACTCATTTGAAGTATATAATTGAATGGTTCTTAGTATATTCATAGACTTCTTAAATCCACAACCACATTAATTTTAAAGCGTTTTCATCACTGCAAAAAGAAACCCTAAGTTAACCAGGAGTCATTCACCATTTCTTCCCATCCATCCATGCTCTAGGCCAGTGATGGCAAAATGGTTGGAGCTTTGAGTAATACAAAGAGCACACTGTGGCACAGTGCCATAGGTTCGCCACTACTGCTCAGGACAAACAGTTATACACTGTCTGTCTTTATAGATTTACCTATTCGGGACATTTCCTATAAATAGGATTCTATGTCATCTTTTGTCTTAGTTTCTTTCATGTAGCATACTCTTTAAGATTCATAAATGTTGGAAGGTGAATCACCGAATCATTTTTC